TATAAGCTTCCTGACGACAGGACATACTCATGATGTGTGTGTTTTTCAGAATACTTTTATCAAGAAAGAATAATGCCAGCTGTTACAATTCAACTTTATGAGCAGAGATTAAGCTTTTTCAATATCCAATGTTATCATTGTTATCAGTTATTTTTAATTGGCCAGCATTTATTCCATCTCTTCCTAACAACTTCCTGATGTTTCTTGGAACCATATCTCCTTATTTTCAGTCCACATAGTCCAGACAGTCTGACCTAACCTTAGGGTTCATGTGTGGACGTGAAGTTCAGACCTGATCAATCGGCATAGTTCATCTCCTTGATCATAGTGATTGATTCGATTCAGGAATGGTCATGTGATTCAAGTTGATCCAGTGATATTCAACCCTAGGAGTTTACTGAACAGTGGAAGAGGAAATGCTCAGAAACTCTGTATTTACTGAGGTTGCTTACCTTTGTAGGATGAACAAGCTCAAACCAGCAGGGTCCACCATATAAAATGAGCCAGTCAGAGAATGAAGCCAGTGCAGAGGAAAGCGGAGCCAAATGATGGAGAGACTTTAGTCCTGATGACAATGTGCTCCTAGATCCATCCGTGCCTGAAGCGAGTATATCCTCTGGATTTTTCAGTTTTGTGAACCAATAAATACCCTTTTGTTTAAGTTACTTTGAGTTTGGTTTCTGTTGCTTGAAATTGAGTCCAAATATTCTTCCTACCAATATTGAAATGACAGATCCAAGTATTAAACTATTGGTCATGGTTACAGTGAAGTTACTTTACAAACTGGAAGTCAGTGAAAAAGGAACTGACAGTGCTTAAGACAGAAGCAAAAAATTACATGATAGAAAAATATAGGAGAAAACCTAAATGTTATCAGTAAGGGATTGCTTAAATAACATGATTTAACCATATTAAGAAAATTTACATGTGGATTAAAATGAGCAAGGTACCCTTATTGTGTATGGACATGGAAAAATGGCCATGTTATATTAAGTGAAACAAACTATTGGTAGAAAAACGTAGTATGAACTCATTTTAAAATTTGTCTTTGTTTATAATACAGTGGGGCCTTAACTTACGAGTTTAATTCGTTCCGTGACGGAGCTCGTAACTCAAATTACTCGTATGTCAAATCAAGAAGTGAACGAGTGAGACACGTGATGCTGGGCTGATGTTGTGGCGTTCACTGTGATGTTCACTGTGCCAACTAGCGGTGGGGTATCTGAAGCTGGCTCGTAACCCGAATTTTAGCTCACAACTCAAAGCAAAAAATAGGCCGAGAGACAGCTCGTATCTCAAAAAACTCGTTAGTCGGGACACTCGTAAGTCAAGGCCCCACTGTACATAGAAAAGTCTATTAATGGCTTTCTTTGAACAGTGTAGATTACATGAGACTTTAAACTTGATACATTTCTATATTTGAATATTTTTCACTACTCTGGTTACTTGCAAACTTTATTTAAAAGTAAAGCATTTTTAAAATTAAGTTTAGTGCTTACTGTTTGACCTTTGGCAAGTTAATTACACTGAGCCTGTTTCATCAAATAATTTAAAATAACCCTCCTTTATCTTTGTGAGTATTTTGATAAACATATTCATCATCCGTTACTCACAACTGACAGATTGCTGCATCTTTACTTGTTTGAGAAACTGAGCTCAGTAATTGTTCCTTAATTTTTCAAGCGCATCTCTTTAAATGTCCAAGTGTATTCAGAATATCAGAACTTCATCGTTTCAGTCATCAAAAGATTGTTTTAGTTCTCAACTGATGTTAATCTATGAAGACCTCTATCACAGTTTTCACACCAAACAGAGAGGGAAAAGTCCCATTTTCTTTGAAATCTGATTATTCTGATCTCATTGCAATCAAGGTTAATAACCTTTTTATTGCTAAGTCTGTTGCATATGCATCATATCTGAACTTCCAGCAGCACAATTTCCCCCAGCATCTTGACATACTTCCTTTAGGTGTGAAGACTCCATTTTCTTCCTGGCTATTAATCCACTGTAGGTTCTTCTCCCCATCATTTAAGTACTATATTAGTAGACATTTTTCTTTTTTTGCCTCCCCCAAATCATTTTCCCTTTCTTTTAGAGATAGATCCACACTTTTCCTCTGGACTGCTACTCCTTCCCATTCTGTGGTGTTAATGGAGCTATAAATTACAGTTTTCTGGCCTTGTACCCCTGGCTGAGGTTAGATCCTGTGCCCCAAACTTGTCCAATCAAAATTCCCCTCCCACCAGGACTTTGAGTCTTAAGAGAAGTGACAAACAAAATGATAGGACCTGAGTCATTCTGATAGTAGTGTCCCCAGGAGAGCATATTGGGGTTCATGCAAAGACATCCCCACAGGTGCCGATTCCTATTGTCGAAGCCTGGTTATCCAGATTTTCCTTTGTGTAGAGTACCATATATCCTCTTCATAGCGTGTTTCCTTTTTATTTGTAAGCCAAAGAGGGTTGCTATTGCTTGCAACCAAATAATTGTTATGGAAATTGATAACCATTAAATAGTAGGCTTCAGAACCTCAGGAACATGAAGGACCTGGAATTGATTATTGCACTGAGACTAAATTAAAGGCAGTAGCTCTTGTTCTGTATCCCTAGATGGAGGAGGAGGTGGTGAGCAATTTATAGTGAAAAAACAGCAAGTAAAGATACTTCCCCTTGTCATTTGGAATCATATGCCTGTTGCAGGCAGTGTTTGGATAACTAGGTAGCTGTTGACAGTAAGACAATTGGAAGTTGATAAGGAAGACCAAGACCATTGAGTTAGGAGGGTTAGCTACTTGGATTACATTGGGTAATTTAAGATGACAAGCTCAAACCCAGAAACTTACCTGTAGGCTTGAATAAAAGCCAAGGCCCTTCTGTGTCCAGGATGAATGAATCTCTGCTTAATTCCAAAACTACAACTTGGAGATTGATTCCACAAATTGCAAAATCACAATGCTGATTGGATTTGCAACTTTACTAAGATCTCTTTTGTGAGAATTAAGGCATTAACCGGAAAAGAGACTTGCAGAGTTTTGATATCTG